CAATGAACAGTGACTGATACAACATGGCTATTCCCATCTCTTAGATTTACAGAAGACTAATATTTTTCAAGCATGGTGGCTCATGTGTGTAATCCCAGAACTAGAGAGGCAGAAGCAGGAGGAACTACCAGTTCAAGGCTGGCCTGGACTAGATAGTGAGTTCCAGGCCAGTCAGGAATTTATAACAAGACTTTGTCAAAAGAAAGAAGGAAAAGGAGGAAAGGAAGAAAGAAGAGGAGGAGGAGGAGGAGGAGGAGGAGGAGAGAAAACAAAAAAGAAAGAGAAAAAAGAATAAAAAATTCAAAGTCTTACATCTACTATCAGATGGAGTAGGATTTGAACTTATTGCCCCTGAAATTTATATTGCTCCATATACCAGCTATATTTTTTTAGTGCATTCCAGAAACTTCTAGCCTTCTAATGTGCAGTCTTATTTCTGCTCTTCTAGGGATGTGTCCCTGCAATGTTAAGGCTCAGGAAAATGCATAGAAAACACCTTACACATAATGATACTGATCATAGCAATAACATCAGCTTGAATTTATATACCATTCTTTGATTTTAATTATTTCCCTGGGGCTTGTGGCTGAAGGAAGGGAATGTGTTTCTGTGGCACGATCCTTACCTAGCATGCACAAGGCCCTGGGTTCCATCTACAGCAGTGCAAATAAATAAGCAGATGAATAAATAAATTCTTAAGGGACATTAACATTGAAATGTGTTTGTTTCTCCAAAACGTTTTTTTTTTTTTTTTACTTTTTCTGAGACAGGGTTTCTTTGTGTAGTCCAGGCTGTCCTGGAACTCAATTTATAGATCAGGCTAACCTCAAACTTACAGAGCTCCTCCTGCCTCCTGAGAGCTGGGATTAAAGGAATTGTGCCACCACTGCCTAGCACATTTCCTAATTTTTAATCAGTCATGTTGTAGTTATTATCATACAATCATAATCAACTTGTATGGATATTTTATGTTTTTATTTCCTTTTCTTCCTTCCTTCCTTTTTCTTTCCTCCTTTCTTTCTTTCTCTCTCCCTTTCTTTATTCCTTTCTTCCTCTTTTTTCTTTTTCCCCTTTCTTTCTTTCTTTCTTTCTTTCTTTAACATAAGTTTTCATGTAACTGAGTCTGGCTTTGAACATGACGGTTGGTCTTGAACTTCAGCTTCTGTTCTACTTTTTTATGTAGCACTGCTCCCTACATGAGCATTCGCGTGCATAAACATATCAACTGCTGCGGTAAACTATTACACTTACTGAATGCTACAGTTATCACATTTCCGTGGTGATGTAAAGCTCATGGCGCTGATGGCACCCAACGCTGGCAAGGATGTAGAGCAACAGGAAAAGGAATGTGTTGCTAGTGAGACTGCAAAATGGTACAGCCACTTTGGAAGTCGGTTTGGCAGTCACCTGCAAAACTAAACATATTCTTCCCATATGATAGTGCAACACCCTCCTTGGTATTTACCCTCCCCAAAGCTGAAAACTTTTCCAAGTAAAAATCCTGCACACAGATGTTTATAGCAACTTTATTTGTAATTGACAAAAACCGGAGGCAAAATGTCTTTCAGGAGTGAATGAACAAGTGAACTGTGGTACATCCTGGCAATAGACTATTACTCAGTATTAAAAAGAAATGAGTTATGGATCTATAAAAAGACACGGAACAACCTTAAATATACAAATGAAAGAAGCCAGTTTGAGAAGCTACATATTGTATGATTCCAACTCCATGACATTCTAGAAAAGGCAGAACTATGGAAATGGTTAAAAAAAAATCAGAGATTGCCAAAGGCTAATGGGAGAATGAGATGACTAAGCAGAACGCAGAGGAAAGCACCCACTCTAATGGTGGATACATGCCATTATACACTGCTCCGAACTTAGAGCAAAAGGAATTACACCAAAAGAAAGCTCTCGTGGGAACTAGAGACTGACGATCATGCTGTGTCAATTAAGGTTTCTCGATTGTAACCAAGCTACTATTTCATTGGGGATGTTGACAATGGGAGAGGCTATGTATATGCCAGGCAGGAGACATAGGGACCTCTTTGTGCCTTTCTCTCAGTCTATGGGTATGTATATATATCTTTGTGTGTGTGCGTGCATACACATGTGTGTACACACAGAGGCCAGAATTCGATATTTTCCTTTATCACTCCATCTTATTTTTTGAGACAGAATGTATCATTAAATATGGAATTCACCAGTTGACTGGCCAGTGAGCTCCATGCATCCTCCTATCTCTATCTTTCTGCTGCTAGGACTACAGGTGCTTGCCATCAGGTCCTGCTTTTTACATAGGGGCTGAGGACCCAGATTCGGGTCCTCATTTGTAGGGCATGCACTTTGCTGACTGAGCCATATCCCCAGGCTCCTCTCTTAACTTTTATATTGCCGTAAGATTAAAACTACCCTTCAAAAAAAAAGTCTTTTGTATGCATGCCTATAATCCCAACACTGAGGAACTTGACTCCAACCTGGGCTAGAAATAAGACCCGAGGGAAGGGGGGCACCTAACAAAAATATCACAAGTCTTTTAGATGAAAAGCTTGAGGGCAGTGGCATTTTATCTCTGTCTAATTCTGGAATTTAATAAGCTGATTTTTTCCATTTTCCTCATCCATAAATAGAAGAAAATAGCTGTCTCATGGGCATCAAATGTGCTGATGCTCGGTGGATCAACCGTAGCACGCAGTAGTAATTCTGTGAAATGTAATTCTGTGTCTTTCCTTCCCGCAGCATCACAAGCTGCTTCTGGGCAGAGACCTCTTCGTTTCATAATCACCTTTATCTAGCATAGTGTGTGGCATTTGGGCCCCAGAAGTCTGTTGATAGTGAGCGCAAGCCTAAACTTTTCTCTCCTTTGGACGTTTGAGGGTTTTCTCAACTTTTTGCTATTAGCAAAATTCGTCTCCAAACCCTTCTGTTTTGCATTGCCTAATTTGGTCTGTATCCTATGTGAAGTAGGCAGAAGAGGGCTGTGTGCCCATACCCACACTCTGAGATAGGAAGAACAACTATGGCTTAGCGACGTGAAGGGACTTTTGTCACGTGTTGCATGGGTGACAACGACAGAACCTCTGGCCCTGCCTCTAGCCCCTACCTCCACAGACCTCTTTTCCTTCTAACCGCTGCTTTCTGCAGCAGAGGTCTCTTCAAAAATGGAGCCTGTAGTGGTGAGCCTGGTCTAAGAGCAGCACCTTTACCTGTGGTCCCTCTGGGGGAGCATGAGCTGTGAGCTCCCAGATGACCCCCTGAAATCAAACGTTTTATTCCCAACACCTCCAGGCCTCTATTTTCCCAGAATGAGGAGCTTCTCTGAAAAGGGCGAACACGCCAGGTTCTCCCCCACCCCCACCGACTTTTCTCCCTATAAAGGGGTGAGGAGACGATTCTCAGTGTCCAAGAGGAGGGACTTCAGCTAAAAATAGCAACGGCGTGTGGATCAGCCAGAGTGGTACCCAGGACTGGGAAAGGGAGGGGGACGCTGTGGAGCTGTAGCCAGACTGGTTGCCATGGAAACGGGAGAGGAGCAGGGGAACCTGGGAAGTGGGGATGACACAGATACCAAGTCCTAGTCTGAGCTGCCGCTACATTTAGGAGTCTGCGGTTCCCACTCTCAGAGGGGACCTATGGTGGGGGGGGACATGGTGTCAGGGACATGGGCACCAACCCCCAAGGGTCTCTGCTGCCGGCTTCTCTCCTCTCCAGGCTCTGTGAGTTGAGTTGTGGGACTTGGGGTTCGGGCCCCGAATTCTAAGGCAAGTGGGGCTTGGGTGGAGCTGGTTGCTGAGAGAGTTTTCGCCAGACAGACCTCCTTCCAAAAGATAAGCCCCCCCCCCCCGTACTGGCCAGCACTCTCTAGGGGGAGAAAAAGAGCAGGAAGAAGCATGTGGTTCTGGGATCTTACTGAAAGGGGTCAGAGCATGCTCAAGAACTGTGGTTGGAAGAACTGTGGTTATTTGGAGGGAAGAGGCGGAAATGAAGCCCTTGTTCTTTAGATAGTGGACAGTGCGCACCTTTCCTGTCCCGTGAAAAAGAGACCCTTCCTCAAGATAGCAAGAGCTAGAACATGCTCAGAAGGTTCCCTGGGCAATCAGCGTTTGGGGGGTGATCGGACACCAGGAGCCCTTCTCCATTCCCGGACATAGATGGAGGTCAGATTACCTAAGACCCTAAGAAGAATGCCTAGAAGCCCACCTGAAACTAATGCCAGGATGAAAGAGACCCAGGGTCCTGAGGCACTGAGTACTTACAGATCACTTCCAGAGGACACCCTGCAGAGAGGGGAAAGCAAGCCTGCTGTTGGGGGAGGGGAAGATCTAATCTGCCATTGCCAAGGTGTTCCTGGGCTATGTCTCCTGACTCCCATGGAAAATAAGTGTGGAGGCACTGAGGATACAAACCATCTTTGTGGTTTCTTCTTCTGCCCTTTCTTTAACATCCTCCAAAGGTCTGGCTGCAGGACGCTTGGCTCCAAAATTTAAACATTGGGATGTAGGGCTTGTAGTTACATATCCATGCCGTTTCTCCCTAGGACCTGGCCATCGAAGCCATCTGTGAACCTCATGTCACATTCCTGCCCTCCCTGCCCTCCCAGCCCTCCTGCCCCCCCCCCCCAGGTTCCCTTGGAATGGGAGGAGATAACCAATCTCAGAAAAGAGAAAGGAAGGTTGATGACTCCTAAATCCTTACTCTACAGACTTTGGTTCATATGGTCCATATCTCTTAGGGGACCCTAAGAGCCTAGGGAAGGACTCTGGGCATCCATCTCTCAGGGAAGAAGGCATCTCAGAGTGCATCTCAGGGGGAAGAATTTGAAACAAAATCAGGTGGGTTTTGCTGGGAATCTGGGCTTTGCTTGGAATGTGGGTTTGGGGACATATGGCTGGTGTGGGTGGGCTTGGTGTTAGGGTAGTAAATGCAAGGCAGGAAGCTGGGAGGGTTTGATGTGGGCGCTTGGTGTTTCTCTTGGTGCTTTTCTTACTTGGAAGGAAGTATAGAGGTTGAAAGATACTAGATGAGCGTAACCCTGGATGGCCTGGCATGTCCTTTGTCCTTGCTGTGGGCAGTTGATCTCACATGGCCTCCAGCCTCCTATTGCTACCCTTTTCTGCATGTCTCCTTTGGGAAAGAGCCCAGGAGAAAGGGGGCAATATCAGAGCATCAGTAACCACGGTTAAGCAGTCAGAATTGCCAATGGGAATTTCCTAATGTTGGGAACATTCAACCTTTGCACACTGGAGACTTTTTGGGCACAGCTGGCATTTCTTTCTCCTTGGTAAGTCTGGGGTAGAGAAAAGACAGAGGAGGAGGTAGAAAGAGTGAGATTCAGAAAGAGAAGAGAGGGGATAGTCTTTCTGTGACCTTTGGGCAGGATGATGAAGAAGAGTCCGGGCAGGAGGTAGGGATAACGGTCAGGGAAAGAGTGGTGTAAGTCCTCATGGCAGGGAGGGCTCTGCATAGAGAAGGAACTGCCAAGGAATCCACTTCTTACGTTTTAGAATCCCAGGAGTCTGGTCCAGGCTTGTCTGTGAGGTGCTCCACACTTCAGCTTGAGGTGGTGGCATCGAGATTGGTGGCACCGACGTCTCTAACACTTCCTACCCATTGAACTTGCACTGCGCTGCCCAGTTCGTGATCATTACCCTGTGTGATCCGTACAACTTTTTCTTAACCTTTATTTTTATTTTTATTTTTATTTTATGTGTATGGGTCTTTTGCCTTCATGTATATCTGCGTGACACCCTCAGAAGCCAGAAGAGGGAGAGAGATTGGAATTACAACCGGTTGTAAACCCACATGTGGGTGCTGGGAACCAAAGCCAGATCCTCTGGAACAGCTGCCAGTGAGCCATTTGAGCCATCTCTCCAGCCCTCCCGGCCCCCAGCTTTCCGAGCTTGTGGGCTTCTGGGTTGTTCCCATGCCACCAAGTAGGGGGAATTGAGGCTAAGAGAGCAGAATGGGGTGATTCGTTCAGGGGCTACTCGCCATTACGGACCCGTCAAACTCGGCAAACCTTTATTAAGTCCCCGCAGGATTCCAGTTGCAGCGCCATGGCGCAGGAGAACGCCGCCTTTTCTCCAGTGTCGGAGGAGCCACCCAGGCGCCGTGGCCGCCAGCGCTACGTGGAGAAGGACGGGCGCTGCAACGTGCAGCAGGGCAATGTGCGGGAGACCTACCGCTACCTAACCGACTTGTTCACCACGCTGGTGGACCTGCAGTGGCGCCTCAGCCTGCTCTTCTTCGTGCTCGCCTACGCGCTCACTTGGCTCTTCTTCGGCGCCATCTGGTGGCTCATCGCCTACGGCCGCGGCGACCTGGAGCACCTGGAGGACACCGCGTGGACCCCGTGCGTCAACAACCTCAACGGCTTCGTGGCTGCCTTCCTCTTCTCCATCGAGACCGAGACCACCATCGGCTACGGGCACCGCGTCATTACTGACCAGTGCCCCGAGGGCATCGTGCTGCTGCTGCTGCAGGCCATCCTGGGCTCTATGGTGAACGCCTTCATGGTGGGGTGCATGTTCGTTAAGATCTCGCAGCCCAACAAGCGGGCCGCCACGCTGGTCTTCTCCTCTCACGCTGTGGTGTCGCTGCGCGACGGGCGCCTCTGCCTCATGTTCCGCGTGGGCGACCTGCGATCCTCGCACATCGTGGAGGCCTCCATCCGCGCCAAGCTCATCCGCTCGCGCCAGACGCTCGAGGGCGAGTTCATCCCTCTGCACCAGACCGACCTCAGCGTGGGCTTCGACACCGGGGACGACCGCCTCTTCCTCGTCTCACCTCTTGTCATCAGCCACGAGATCGATGCCGCCAGCCCCTTCTGGGAGGCGTCACGCCGCGCCCTCGAGAGGGACGACTTCGAGATCGTGGTCATTCTCGAGGGCATGGTGGAGGCCACGGGTGCGGGCAGGCTGGAGGACGGGAGCGGTGATGCAGGGCTCGAGCAAGAAAAGCACGGGGGTGGGGGGTGGGAGGACGAGCATGCAGAAAGATGGACAGAGAGTGGAGTATAGGGTGACAGGTGGAGGAGGGGGTGTGCTGGGGCAGGGATGGAAATGAAAGGGATGGACAGGGTGACTTTGCAGAGTCAAGAAAAAGCTTCGAAGAGTTCTACGAAATGATGCTAGCTTGAGGCCCTGGCCTGACAGGTATGTCACTTTGAATAGCACTTTACATCTCTGAATTCACTTAATCCTAGCAAGGTTCCCCTGGAGCTTACTTTTTTACTGTGCTCACTTTTCAGAGGATGAGTAGCCCCAAAGAAAGATCCCATAAATAGCCCGCTGTCACAAGCCAATAAATAGCGTAGCCTAGATAGAACACAGGAAGTCTAGCTTCAGTGTTTCCTAGTACGATGTTGGCATGAAGGTTACCGTGCAAGGTTCTTGATGCGCAGAGATCCAGAGCCCTGGAATTCGATTGACCCGAGTTATTCTCCAAACTGAGGTGTGGAGAGGTGAGAACTGGTCTGTCTCACTTCGGCCTCACTTACCCCATCTGCCACTCTTAACTTCCCCTGATGTTCTAGTTCCTTTCCAGAAGGAACTGTGACGTCAGTGCCTTCACTCAGGCCTGCACTGTCAAGAGCTTGCTTGGGATCAGTATAGGAGCCAAAACAGGTCCTTTAAGAGGTCCTAGCTGCTGAAGATAAGGAAAATATAAGTAAAGGACCAAAGTGCCACTAGAGGGAGCTACAGCGCTGCTACTGACAGACTTGCTCCCTGCTGCTGGCCTTGAGAACCCGTTCCTGGTCCTGGGCAGAAAGCCTCTGCTCAGTTCTATCCACTCCCCACTCCTCCTTCACTCCGACTAGGCTGGTCCTAGCTCTTCCCCTTCCCTTGCTACTCCCTCGTCTCGCCAGCTGTCCCTCCTTTTTGACACTATCTTGGGCAGTTCTCTTACAAGGACTTTTCCCTTTTGCCGCCACCTCCCACCCATCCCTACTCCCCCCAGCCCCAGCCTCAGCCCCATCTCTGCTTCTTGGGCCTTCTCTCTGCAGAGGCCCTGCGGGGGCGGGCTCTCCTTCCCCACCTTGACAGATTCCTCTTATTCCTGCTTTGCCATAGAATACCAGTGTCCCCAGGATAGCACAGAACCGGATTAGCCATTCTCGGGTTGGTGATGTTTACATCTCTGCTTCTGAGATGGCATTGGGGTGACTCTGAGGTGGGAACAAAATGATCTGCCCTGAGGGAAGGGTGCATAATCCCAGCAGGGAAGGCAGGGCAGACCCAGGGCAAGGACTGAGAAGGGCAGTGTAAAGGACATGGGGGTGGGAGCATGTTCGATCTTTCTAGAGATAAAACAGGGAAGGATGGTAGTATTTTGGGATTCAAACTGCTTTTGAAAAGCAAGAATAATGAGCCAAAAAACCCAACACGATGACATTTAAAGGGAGTAAATATAAAATTCTACATTTAGGCTTTAAAAAAAAATCACTTATGTAAGCCCAGCATGGAAAGGCTCTGGTGGAGAAAGAACTGGGGGTTTTCGTTGGCCACAGGCTCCCAGGCTTGCTGTAGCAACGTGATGCAGCTTCCAAAGGCATTTATGTAATAGAATCATGGGCCACTTTGCTAGGGCCTCCTGGCCAGAAGCAAGAGGCAGCAAGCTTTCTTTTATGCATCGAGGAGGCCACAATTGGAAAAGTTGTCACACTTCAGATGGCCCCTTACCTGGTCCTCCGTGACCATTCTGACTTGCAACGAAGACAGTAAACTTCTCGAAAGCCAGATCAAGTGGGAAATGGTCATGAGTGTTCAATCTGAGGAAGAGGTCTAAGGGAACCTGGGTCTATATTGACAGACGCTAAGGGAGCGCCAGGTGGGAAGGGAGTGAAATGCAAGGGGTAGAGACCCTGGGGGCAGATTTTAGCTTGTATAAAAGACAGCCCAGAGCCAGTGAGATGGCCCTGCAAGCTAAGGTCAAAGGCCCGAGGACCTGAGTTAGATCCCCGGGGTCTCAGACTGTGGAGTGAACCAACTCCCACATGTTGTCCTCTGACCTCCACATACATCCTGTGGCGCATATGCGTGCACACCCATGCATATAAACACAAATCAATGCATATAAACACCCATGCATGTAAACACCCATGCATATAAACACAAATGCAATCCACAAAGGACTGAACTTCTCATGAGGTGGTGAGCTTTCCATCCTGGTAGGTAATCAATTCAGCTAGCTGCCCAAGGCTTGGGAATGCTCAGCGGGGGGCGGGGGCGGGCGAGGAGGCTCTGTGGGAAGTGGGAAGCTGGACCAGATGATCCCTAAAGTTAGTTTTAAGGTTGAGCTTCTCAAAGGGGAAATACAGGCTGGCAGATGGAGAAGTGAGCTGACCAAAGAGAGGTGGGGCTCTTGGGGAAAGAGGGCTGTGGAGTGAGAGGCAGGAGAGGGAGGCTCAGGCCGGGATCCCTTTGATTAATGCCTCTTCCTCCTCCCCGCAGGAATGACATGCCAAGCTCGAAGCTCCTACCTAGTAGATGAAGTGCTGTGGGGCCACCGGTTCACATCTGTGCTCACCCTGGAGGACGGCTTCTATGAAGTGGACTATGCCAGCTTCCATGAGACCTTTGAGGTGCCCACACCCTCGTGTAGTGCCCGGGAGTTGGCAGAAGCTGCAGCCCGCCTCGATGCCCATCTCTATTGGTCCATCCCCAGCAGGCTGGATGAGAAGGTGGAGGAAGAAGGGGCTGGGGAGGGGGCAGGTGGGGGAGATGGAGCAGACAAGGAGCAGAATGGCTGCCTACCACCCCCAGAGAGTGAGTCCAAGGTGTGACTGGTTTTCTCCAAACCCCTGTGGCAGACCAGGGGGCTAGACACAGGTACATGGAAGCTGCGGAGTGGAGATGGAAGAAGAGGAGGCAGGCAATGTCCCAAGGAATGGCTAACGTTGGGAGAGGCCCACTGAGTCCAGGATCCAGTGGGGAAGGAAGAAGTCCTGGTTTAAAGAGAGGAGAGGGTGGGGATGAAAGAAAATATCGGTCTGTCTGTCTGACCTTCACATCTATTCGTGGGTGGATGGATGGACAGAAGGATGGGCTTATGGGGCTGAATGGGAAGGTCGGGCAGACAGAGGCAGCCAATGGATAGCTTGGGTGTCCTATGGATCGACAGTTGGTGAAGGTGAACCCAGGGCCTTAACCTGCAGCATGCCTTTGTACAAAGCCTACCAGTACCCTTTTCTTCCAGACAGAGGCAACCTCAAATCAGGGGACATGGCTTAGGGAGTAGAGTGTCAGACCAGTTGCTGCCCCCACTCACCTCCTCATCTGGCCTCCCTGTGTGTGACACACCTGTCTAGACAAAGTGGCCACTGTTGAGCCAGAGAAAAGCGTGTGGAGCAGGGTATAGATGTGACCCTATCCAGATTCACTATCCCGCTGTGATGGGCTCAGAAAGGTGTCCACAGCCTTAACCCTCAGGGGGTAGGCAAACAAGCAAGGGTAGACGCTGAGCAGCAGCCCCGGAGCAGGACCAGGAGAGCGGAGGTTTTTTTGAGGCAGCGGAGTGAAACCTTGCAGGTAGGTGCTGCTATAGAAACTAGAAAGCAGGGAGACTCTGAGGTGGAAGAAAGACCAAGGGAGACTTAATAAGTGGTTTTATGAGGGAGGCCTGAGCCCTGGGGAAAGTAGTTTATCCTTGAGGCACAGCGACAGGAGATCATTCGAAATAGTGATTAGGTTATCAGGTGTGACATTCAAAGACCTGTTCCTAACACCAGAACACAGTACAAGTGGAGGTCAGAAATACCCCCACAGCAACTGAAGGAAGTGTGGCTCACTCTAGGAGCCCACACAAGCTCTTCAGAGTCAGAAGAGGGAGAGCATTAGTAACCTGGAAGCTAAGGATTGAGCAAGGGGGGTGGGGAGCCCAGCAGTTACAGAGCCTTTGCGTCACTTGCCTGGAGGGCTTGTTAAAACAGATTGCTGGGTCCCACTCCCAACATTCTGACTCAGTAGGTCCGGAATGGAAACCAAAAAAATCTGCACATCTAACTAGTTCCCAGATCTAACAGGTTTCCCAGATCGTGCTGACGGGCACTACACTCGGATGAGGAAACCAAGCGGAGGAGAAGCTGCAGGGGCTTGAGAAGTCGAGGACCCTTATGAACAGTAGAAAGGAGAAGGGGCATGTCAGGGAGAGGGACCCAGATCCAGGCTGAAGAGCTTAACTTTGGGTCCAAGAACTGAAGCGTCAGTGGTAACTTGCCAGTGACACCGAGGTGGCATCTGGGAAGAGGAGAGGGCCACGGAGACAGGTGGGAACAGAAAGAAGGCCTTTTCGGGGACTCCTGGGGAGGCAGTGGGGAGCCGAAGCTGAATGGGCTTCACCACAAACGGCCGGCCGACTGACTCTCTAACAGGACAAGGCAAGACGGACTAGGGTAGAAGACTGAGCTTATACTTGTGGGTATCTGCTGCCTGCCATCTGTCCTGCCAGGGCAGGGAACCCTGGAGAGACATCCTCCCATCCCACCTCCACTGCATCCTGCCCTTGTCCCCAGTCATCTTGGGCTGGTCAGGGGAGAACAATGGCAAGTTGAGGAGCAGAAGATCCTCAAGGGACTGGAGGCTGGCCCCCTGGAGCTCAGTGTAGCCCAGCTAGACACAGCCTCTTGATGGGGCCGGTTCAAACCTTGGCCCTGGCTGCACCCACTCCTGCCCTTGAATAAAGGTCTGCTGTTCTGTGCCAGGCTAAGAGACCAGCATCCAACGGGGCACTGTCCCTCCCTCCCAGTGCCCATCTGAGCTCGGGTCCACTCAGAGGACGCAAGCTCTTGCCTCTCCCCTTCAGTCAAACACTGGACTTGGGTTTCAGGACCACCTGGGTCACTCTCAAAAATGAGGTCTGTGAACATGGGCCTGCTGGAGCCCCATGCACATACTGAACTAGAGCACAGGGAGGGGCCAGGGTTTGGATTCAGAGGGAAAGGCGGAGTCTGCGTAAGAGGGGTGGGGTGCTTGGCACCCTCATACACTGGAATGGGGACATCGAAGCTGCTCCTGGAAGTCGCTGAGATGCAACCACTCAGGGCACCACTGTCCAGGGCAGTCAGGAGACCTGTGTTCTGGTGCCAATGCTGATTGTCACTAGTTACCTCCATGAGGACTCTCAGCCTCTCAGCAAGGCCTTAGTTCCCTTATGTGTAAAAAAAAAAAAAAAAAAAAAAAAAAACCTGGCAAACTCATAATGCTCAATAAATGTTAAATTGCTAAATGGAAAAGGTAGACTGGATGCCACTTGAAGTGCAGAACAGCCGAGACTCTCCGGACCAGAGGGGCAGCTCGTGTAAGCAGATGCAGTAACTCTGTGTACAGAGGACACAGCCCCCCCCCCCAACTGCTGTGGTCCCTAAGTAGGCAGCTGTATTCTGGGGCTCCTATTCTGCTGCAGTCGGAGAATAATTAAGGTTAGGATGAAAAAGACTGAGGCCCCAGGGCCTGGTGGGAGGAGTCTGCTCCCAGACTAGCTTAACCAGGAGAAAGAGACGGAGGAGGGTGTGTCCCAGTCTGAGGAGCTCAGAAAGACTTGTCCCTGGAAGCTGTGAGAGGGACCAAGCTCAGCTGGAACCCACCCCTCGCTTCCTATATTCCCCTTCCCAAACAGAAGCCCCATTAGGAGTTGGCTCAACACTGACATTTTAGGTGACAGATGGGACCCAGGCATCCCCCCCCCCTGCAGTGGGTGGGTAGCAAGGTCCTCGAAGGACAGATGGTGTTTACGATGGGGAGAGGGCCTGGGTTATCCAGAACAGGCTGACAACCCCAGCAACCTCCCTACTACCACCCCTACCCCACCCCACCCCGCCCCTGCCTTTTATAGCTTCATGGCAAGGGAAGACACAACCAAGCCTGGATTTTATAAAACCAGTTTATTCACATTAAAAAAAAAAAAAAAACAACAACTAGTTTGAGGACAGGAATTGGCCTTCCTTCCTACAGCACGAGTGTGAGACCAAGAACAGAAAACCAGAAGGAAGACCTTGAGGAAAGCTGTGGGCAATGGGGGAGCCAAGTCTCCCGCTCTAGGCAGGGACAGGTCAAATAAATTAAAGGAAGTTCTGGACGGAGGAGGGAGAGGGTATCCAGGCAACTGGAGGAGGGGCGGGGCGGCGCTGGATGGAAGACACCTGCAGGAACTGGAGAGGGCAGTGGAGTAGGCTGAGGATAGGGATCCCTTCAGTCCTCACCCTGCTCCACGGTCCTGCAGGGCTGAGCCGGCCACGGCTTGTCCAGATGAATCACACAGGAAGCCTGAGGAAGACGGGGCTTGGGGGTCCCTTTCCCTCACCTGGGATGCTACAGATCACCGCTTTCGCAGCCTCTTCATAAAGCAGCAAGTGATAGTAGCAAGGACGCTGGCGCCAGTGACTAGGGCGACTCCCATACCCACCAACAGGGGCACGAACAGGGTATCCAGAGCTGGAGGAGAGAGGATGGCCTGCTCAGAGAGGATCTGTCATACAGGTCGCTGACACTCTCCCCAGCAGGGTTTCTAGACTCAGTCCCTAGTCACAGAGTACCATCCATGCCCACATTCATCCACCCCAGTCAACACTGAGATCAGCTTGGGGATTTTCATGCAAAGGGATGCAGGGATGTGGGGAGGTAGGGAGAGGCAGAGATAGCAGGGAAGACAGGAAAACAGAAGAGGGCAAACACAACTGGAGCAGGGGAGGGGAGGGGAGGGCGGTTATCACTCACCATGCGTGTAGGGGTAGACTGTGACAGGCCCGGAGCGTGCACTGCCCGCCTGGTACCAGCTGTAGTCTGCATGCTGCACCCAGGCGCTTGGGGCGCAGTGGTATACGCCTTCATCCTCGGGCCCCAGACTGTGCAGTCTTAGTCGATGACTTCTGGGTCCCACTAGCTCCACACTGACAGGACGCCCTCCAGGTCGAACTCCCAGCTCTGCCACGCCGTCCTGACCCACTCCACCCACAAGCTGGGCAGGGCCGGTGCTTAACTCGCCCTCCTCTGGCCTTTCCACCCACCAGCTGGCTGCTAGTCGCAGCCCCGGAGGACCACCCCGCACAGAGATGTTGCACAGCAAGGAGGCAGTCTCTCCCCGGTACACAGTACCCCCTGCAAGCCATGCCACGGCCTCCAGCACCACGCCTGCAGAGTGAAGGACATACGGGTTACAGAGGGAAGGCTCAGGAGCTAAGAAGTTAGGAAATAAGTTCGATAAGCTCTGAACCCTGCCAAGAGCTCAACCTCTCACCTTCTTCCCTCACGTGCACAGGGAGAGGCCGGGAACGAGCACTGGCCGCTTCACGAAGTCGGGTCCCAGACCCTCGAACGTAGGCTTTGGCTAGGCAGCGGTAGGTGCCTGCATCACCAGGCCTGGCAGCCTCCAGTCGTAGCCGGTAGGTCCTGGATGCCACTTTCTCCATGGCAATGTGCCGACCCTCATAGCCAGGGCCCAGGCTGCCGACACCTTCTGTGTCCAGCTGGGCCACCAGGCGGCCAGGCCCAGGAGCCCCTGCAGGAGCCATCTCCCAGCCCACTGAGTATGCAGCATGCCGGCCTGGTGGGGGCAGTGCCCCTGACACATTGCATAGCAGTTCCAAGGGTTCCCCCGGGCCAATCCGATGTTCGCCAGGTCCCACCGTCACTGCCAGCTGGCTGGCTGAAATACAGCAGGGGAAGGGAGGGGTCATGGGGATGCCTGGGTTCCTATCTATAACACCTCTTTGAAACATTTAGAGGCCCTTTATCTGTCTCTTTCCCCCTTCCACCATAGCTCTTGTATCTCCACATCCAATTTCTGAGCAGAGAAAGCATGGATAGAGAGCGAATAAGGTCTAGAAGGCTGCTCACTCCATGGAGGAAGAATTCTGTAGTCGGAGGATGGTCATTTGCACTACCCCCGATGCCCACTGAGATGCCCCCGCAGGGGGACATGGCACTCACACAGTGTCTGCACATCCACATGGGCCAGGACTGCCCTCTTCTCTGCGATCTGGACCCAGGAGCCATCAGGATCCTGAATCCATTCAGCGGCAGTACAGTGGTAGGTGCCCGAGTCTGCAGCCTGGGCACCCCCGACCACCATGCGGTACCGATCAGTCCCTTCCTTGCTCAGCCGCAGCTCCCCGGCTGCCAGCCTCTCAGCATAGGGAGCACCAGCCTCCACAGCCATGTCAGAGCGCAGTCCTACGACTTCCTGGAGAGTGGCTCGCCCCACTGGCGCCTCAGGCTCAGCTCTCCCAAAGGACACCGACAGGTGTGTGTGTTTCTTCGTTTTAGTCTGAGCCAGGCAGCCCAGCGCCAGCTCCTGCCCCTCATGTACTGTCAGGCGGGAGGGAGAGGCTGCGGCCTGGCGTCCTCGGGGCCCCGGAGGGGCAGCAGATACCTGCAGCTCATCTGGAAGAACTGGAGAGAAAGGCTTTGGTGAGAGAGGGCTGGGAGCTGGCAGCCCTCCTGTCTCCTGTGCGTCTCCTACTTCACTACCTACTCTGTGGGCTCCTGGAGGAAAAGGACTTCTATAACTCAGTGGTCCCTAGCCCAGTCTGAGCAGACTAAGATGAATTTTACAGAATAAGCCTACTGACACCCACTCGAATGTCTGGGATTAACACATTTTAAATACTCAAGAAAGTAACTGTAAAGATAAAGAGGCTGGCGCGGGCCTATCATCCCAGCTCCCTAGGAAGCTAAGACAGAAGGAGCAAGTTCAAGGCCCACTGGGGCTGCAGAACAAGCTCAATGCCAGTCTGAGTAACTTGAAACATCTCTGCATCTGGTCCCAGTAAAAGAAAAGTGCTGGAAAGGCAGGCTTACTGGCACAGGAGCCTGGCAGGAAGACCGCTGGGAGTTTTAAAGTAACCTGGGCTACATAGTGAACTGTGGGAGAACTGCTAGGAATTACAGGCCAACCTAGGCTAGTGGGCTGTAGGCCAGCCTGGGCTACAGGGTGAGATCCAATCTCAAAAACTAACACAGGATATAGCTTAGTAGAGCACTTCCCTGGTATGCTCAACACTGTAGGTTCAATCTGGGGTGGGAGGAGATGGAAAGAGGAAGAGGAGAAGAAGGAAGAGGAAGCAAGAGGAGGAAGAAGATGAAACCCAAATCTGGGAGGCGCTCTCACCACCCAGTTCAGAGCCCAGTACCTCTCAGCTCCACTTTGGCACTGTAGTTGCCTAAGTACTGAGTGTCCGTCGAGGGGGTGTAGCATTCATAAAAGCCAGAGTCCTGGGTCTGCAGGCGTCCAATCTTGAACACCACGGAATCTCCCTTCAGGCGCTGCACCTGCAGGTCCCCAGAAGCCACGCGAGGCCCAAACACGGCATAGGAGAACTGGCTATCCTTGGTGCTGATGATGCCCAGGGAAGTCGTTGGGGCCTCAGGTCTGTACATGAACCATTCAAAGTCCTGCTGGGAAGGGCCTTCGTAGGCACTCACGTTGCAAGAGATAGAGACAGTGGTGCCAACCACACGGTAAAGAGGGCCCTTGGGGACATGCACCTGCCGGGCATAGCACCTGACTCCTGTGGGGAAAAGGCAGAAAGAATTGGAATTATTATTATTATTTTTTAGAAAGACTGGGTCCCCATTCGATGCCCAGGCACATCAGCACCATTCTTGACGGCTACCTGTGAAGCAATCTCAGAAAGGTTAGAACATAGCCAGGCATAAGACACAGATGAGGACAGGGAAGAGATGCTGGAATGGAAGACATCAGCATCTCAGCATCTGAACAGAAGCCCAGATCCACCCCAGAATGGAGGAATACTCCATCTCTAGCGAATGAGAGGTAGAGCAGCTGCCTGAACAAAAGAGCGCATCTGGAGGCCGGAGAGACAACCCAGTAAGGAAAAGCCTTTCTGAGTTCAAGTCCCTGCAACCACGTAAAAAGCTTGGCATGGTGGCTGGTGAGGTGATTCAGGGGGTAAAAGCAGCTGCCACACAGGCCAGACAACCTAAGTTCGATCCTCAGAAAAAACCACGGCAGGAAAGACCCAAGTCCTGAAAGCTGTCCTCTGACCTGCACTCTCTCTATAATAATAATAATAATAATAATAATAATAATAACAACAACAACAACAACAACAGCAACTAGGTGACTCCTGAGCAGTGGCACCTGCGGTTGATCTCTGGCCTTTACGTGAAGACTCATATATGTGCACTTGTACCCATGCACACGTGTACCTCATATACCACAAACACACACAATTTAAAATAAATAAAAGAAGCATGTCTGACTCTTGACTCCCCAGTTCTTGGCTGGATCCTTCTCTC